CTGCAGGGACTCAACTATGGGGGGCGGGGGGGGGGTCCTGGTGGTATGGCTTAGAGATTTTTATATCCATCTTTACATCCATCATGTGCAGAGTGTGTTTGGAGTGGGTTTGCTGTTTGGTGCCGCGGCTCAGACATCCTAACAGAGCAGAAATAATGGCCCCCGGCAAGAACTGCTCCATCGGCCCTCGTTTTTCAAATGGTGATTCCGGAGGAAACATTGCTCCCGTTTAACACTAACAGTCCGCCCGGCTTCCGCTAACAGCCTCTGTCCCGTGTCTGCGTCTGACGGGAAGGGACTGATCGCTAATGCAGCCCAAGTACCTGCGGAGTGTCTGATAATGCACAGGTGGGGCTTTAGTGCAGCTTTTTTCCTGACTGCCTGTCTCTCGGTGTGTGTGTGTGTGTGTGTGACTCGCCTCCTGTGGGGAGACCGGGGGGGGGGTCCGAGTGTGTTTGTGCTCTCAGGGTCAAACATCACAGAGGAATTAGTTACTGCCAGAACTAACGCTGGTGCAGTAGCTCTGCTGGAACCAACTCACCCTCCTCGCTCTGCACATGAGAAATGAGCAGATGCCTTTTATGGTCCTAAATATAACATTAAAGTGCAGGCGTTCACTTTGCTACTATGGTTTGAGAGCTAGGCTGCTTATCGATACTAGACACAGGACCAGTCAGTGGACACACTTTCTCATTGAATTGAAGGAGAAAATGTACTAGTCCATATACACATATGAGAGGGATACAGTATGTAGCAATATGGCAAAATAATGATTGTTTTTCTGGTGAGGGTTTTAACTAAAGAAAAGCGTCTTCAGTGTTCAATTCTAAGCAAAGGCCTGTCCTCCCAGAACTCTCCTGTGTGATGCTGAAGATTGGTAAATGTTTGCTTTGAATCGGGAATGCTGAAAAAACGAGACCACCAATCGGAACAGACATGTGGCTCATTATTTCCGCTCATTCCCCCCCCCCCCCCTCTCCCTCAGCCGGTGGAGAGAGAGGTGTCTCATTAGAATTGGCTGGGGTTACGTCTGAATTCGTCCTTTTGTACTCCACCACCCCGAGGAGCGAGCTGTTTGTATTGATGAGCAGATAGACTTGGCCCTGGACCAAAACCCGCGCCTGACAGACCCCTCCGGTTTGAGGGCTTCTCTGTCCTGAAGCCACTTCAATATTCATCGTTGAATTCATCCGCTGTGTGAAGAAGGAATCAGAGGCGTATCAAGGAATGAAAGATGAAACAAAAGGTGTTTAAGCGGGCAGAGACTCTTTTCTATCAGCGGTTATTGTGTTCTCCCAAAAAGATTGCATGCTCTATGATGGATCGTGTTCGGTACCGCATGTCGGGCGAATACCAATTTCGCTTGGTTAATATAAAGAATAAAGCAGCACACTACGTGCTCTACTTTCTCACTTCAAAATGCAAAATCCAGCCTCTTTGGCCAGTGAAGTATTCTGTCTGAACATCTTTTTTTTCCTTTGGCCCGGGTGAGAAATCCATTTTCTTGGATCACCCTGTGTAAAGAATAGTTTGTAAAATGTTAAAATATGCTTATTGGCCGTTTGTTTGCCAAAAGTCCGATGGGAATATTGCTACCACCCGTTTCTGTGCGTTTTAAATATGGTGCTAAAGCCAGGGGGAAATTAGTTTAGCTTAGCATAAAAACAGGAGCAGCTAGCCGTGCTCTGTCTGAAAAATAGTTCAAAAACAAAACTCTCGTCTGTTTTTTAGAGGCTAGATCCATGAAGGACTGTTTTTTCGTGCACGAAAGGAATGGACCAGATAACTGGACCGGGGGGGGGGGGGCGCGGTGGGGGCACAGCTGGGCCTAGAGGAAGGTTGTGCAGGTGGGAGAAGGTGGGAGAAGGTGAACAGGGGAAGACAACGAAAAGGTGGAGACGCAGAGCCGGATGCAGAACGCCGTCTCCTCAGACTCTCGGCGCCGACTGCCGAACAGTTTGAGAGTCAGTTGTGCGTGAAGCCGCTTTCATCCACCAGCCTGAGACATGCCGAAGGCCCCCGAGGAAGGGCTCTCACAAACCTCTTTCACGTCACCCGCCCGTTTTCTCTCCCTCACCGCCTTTGTATCCGTCTATTCATCTGTTTATTCGCGTCCTTCTTTCTGACACTCGGCCGCGTCTCCCTGCGCCTCCCCGTCTCCGCCGGAGACGCTGAAATGCACACAGACGTCCTTTCAACCCGTCCACACGAGCCGCTTCTCACGCGGTGGCTGCGGCCCCGACGGGGGTGTTGACATAGCGAACCGTCAGGCATGAGAAAGTGGTGGTGCCGGTGGAATATCTCTGTGGGTGTCGGAGTCCTTTTACTCATCGGCAGCTCCTCTGATCCCAGAGCTGCCGATGAGTAATATCTACGCTCTCTAAACGATGCTTTTATGGAGAGAAGGTTATTGAGGGAGTCAGTGGCTCAAAGTCCACGAGGTATTAAGTAAGCCACTGAAAATAAACTGTGTGGTGCAAGTAGTTTGTTCTGAAGTGAGAGTGTTAAGAGCATTTCTTCTTTGCTGCAGTACCTGTACATTGCAATTGGTATTTAAACAATAACTCTGAGATTAAAGTAATTGCTCAATTTTAAGATTCATAATTGGACAAATGAAAGGTATTTTTAATATTACACTAGTTTAGGAGAAAGATGGTGACATTGTAAAGGATAAGTCATAAGATACTTGAGCAGTCAGACGATCATCCAAGTTTCATCCAACAAACCCCATAGTTCCATCCATCCATCCTGCACACAGGGTCACGGGGCGGGGGGGAGGGAGGGTGGAGTCTATCCCAGCCAACTTTGGGCGATAGACAGGGTTCACCCCATAGTTAGCTAAACCTATTTTAATTTACCATTATTTATACAAATGTTAGGAAAAAAACCCGTAAACAAATTCCACCCAAGTCATAATTAACAGGATTTCTTTAAATACCTTTTAAAGAATTTCTATTCTAAGGTTTTTGCATTTCATGTCAGCCTTAAACTCCAAGCAATAGATGCGTTTTCTCCTCCAAAGTATTGCATTCTATTTCCTATTTGGTGACGGATCCGTTGCAGCGAATAACTGGATTCTACCACCCGTAGGCAGAAGGTTGGCATCTTCACTGCCGTTGCTCTGCCAGGCCTGTACTGCAGCCATCTGCCCTTTTTGCTTATTTCAGGGGCTTTTTGCCTTCAGTCTGGTCTTGAGCAAGCGAAACACACGATGAGCTGGCCTGAAGTCAGATGGACTAACAAGGGTTTGGCCGTAAGACTCCTCAGTTGCCATTTCCGCGTGTTGAATATCGTCGTCCTGCAGCGCTAAAATTGGGGCTTTGAAAAGAGCCATTATTCCTCCTCTGCATCCAATATGTCAGATGCTGGAGTCAGCACTTTAGCCTCGTAGTCACATTTTCATTTCTTATCCAATGTGCTGGAGCAGAAAATGCACCGATTCAGAAATGCTGTTTGACTGCACTGCGTTATGTAATAAATCAAAAGTCATACTCATGTGGAGTTAACAATATCATGGCTATTTCTATAGAGGCGCAGCTCAGGTTGGCCCGTTCCCAATCTTTTGCCCACCTTCCCCCCACTTGGCATTAAAACACACGAACGATAACACTCCACTCCCACGCGGCCATGTGAGAGCCCCCCGGTGAAAGGCAGCACCAGGAAGGTAAACAGAAACCTCTGCGGGCTTCTATTGACGGGCCGGGGTCCTGAATGCCGCTGCTCACAATGGACCCTTCACGCCTCACTGTGCCTAAAACCGCAAATTCGGTGTGCTGCTCCAAAGCGTGGCCCTCTATGACTCGGCCATTCAAAAATGTGGACTCAGCCTCCCCGGCCCGCAGCGCACATTCGCAACAACAACCCAGTGGGATGACGAGAGAGAAACGGAAAGAACGAGCGACTCAGGGACAAATGGACTGACGGATAGGCAGAGACGAAGCGAAAGGTGAAAACAGGCGCATGAATGGACGAACCGAGAGGGAGAGAGAGAGCCCATCGCCAAAAAACAAAATGAGCCCAGGTGGACCAGCAGCAGAGGCGGATGAGCTCTGAGCCGTCAGAGTCCCTTAAGTCTCCAGCGCCCCCCCCCTCCCCTCCCCCTCCCACGGCGAGGCCGAGGTGGGATCCTCCCTTCACACTCCGCTGGGCGGTGGACGCGCATCCCACCGCGTCACCTCCACTCACATGTCATTAGATCAACTCCCCTGATTGGCTGCTAGTTCTGCCCAATGAGGGGTGGAGCAAAAGGTCGCTGCGGGTCATTAAACAGAAAAAGAAAAAAAAAAAAGCGGTGGGTCAATTCTCTGGCCTCTAATGCACTGGTCCTCTGCTCCACGGAGCTACTTTAGCTCTTAATTTGTGCGACTGCCATTAGGGAACTTTTACACTTGTGCGTGCTCCATTACGACACGTTATGTGCCAATAAGAGAGAGGCACTAGACATTTAATATAGGCGCTAAGTGCTATTTTTCGATTTTCTACGTATTGACGCCCACTGTCACAGCAGTTGGTGAGGACGAGAGGGTGTGTTACCAAGACAACCGTGTGCAATCAAACAGGCAGCCAGACACTTGAAAACTGGAGTTACCCGCCAAACCCGGGGGGGGGCGAAATGGACGCTGGAAAAGACACTTTGCCAGCGGAGCGCCGCCGGGACAGCAAGCGGTGACCTTTGCTGTGCAGCCAGAGCAAAAGAGCAGGCGTCGCAACAGAGACCGAAAGCAGGGGAAGTCGCTCTGGGACTGAGGAGCTAATATTAATACATTCACACTCTGGCAGCAGCACAGATGGAGACATTTGGACCGGGGACACTTGCCAGGCGTGGCAAACAGACTGACATTTGTGTGTGTTCACATCCTAGGGGAGGGGAAATGCCTTTGAGAAGAACAAGAACGTTTGATTCCGAGAGGCAGGAAGTTCACACAGTTTTGGGAAATGACGATGTTGATGGAGCTGTAGATCTTGAGCAAAAAAGCCAAATGGAAATGTTTCCAACTTACCACAGAAACCGAGATTCCCTCTCTCCTCCTTAGCGAGTTGCCTTCGGCTTTCTTCTTCTTTGGTTTTCTTCAATCTGGTTAAACAGAAATAGGAAAAACCAAGTAAATTGGGTGCTCATAACGGATTTCTTTGCAATTCCTTTATGGGAACAACCCGGGGCTTGAAATAAACCCCAAAAGATTCCTTCTTAATGAGGTTCCTGGTTCCTGGGGAGAAGGTTTGGCTCGGCAACGGTCTCCATATTTTCCATTTGACTTCACAACGGGCCCACACATCAATGTTTGGTTTTATCTGCTAAAAACCTAATCGCGTTGGAAGTCTCCTTCTCAGGCTCAGATTACACACCAGGATGCTCCCACTTGAAATCTCTCCTCCTCATCAAACGTCCTTTGGAAGGACTGACTCTAAAAATCGCTTCCAACTGTGACTAAAAATCAAACATCGCAGCTGTGCAAACCAAAGGGTGTGTAACCTACAACGATAGACACCAAGGCCTGTTGCTGAGAGCTGGAAGAGGACGCATCTCCCCCCTTTGTCTCCCCTCTTGTCTCTTCTGGTGTCGCTTTTCTCTTCTCCTCCCTTCTCCTTGTGTTGCTACCTTACGTTCAGTGCGGAACGTCGCGTTATATGCTAAATCCTTCTGTCCCAGGGTTTTCAGATCCCAGGTGATGGTAAGTAATATATGGATGATCTTATTTGCAGTAGAAGAAAGAACTAGAGTGCGTTTTACACGATATATTTAGGAGACTCTAAAAAGACGTAATCTGTTGTGATCCATTGGGTCCTTTTCCTCTTCTGATCACGAGGTCACGGCGCAGAAAAGGCTCCGGTGTCCTCTCCTAACCCCGTCCTGTCCTGTGTCCCCCTCCTCCTCTCTAATAATCTCCTTACATTACACCCACCCTCCCCTATTACGTCTGTCCCTTCTTTATGTCGTGCCTGATCCTCTCCTGGATCGCTGTCACGGGAGAACACAGACACGCATTTCTGAATCGATGTGCAAAATGATTGAAGGAGCCAGTCCCATTTACTGCTGGCAAAGGCTTATCGACTGCATTCTGCCTGCGCCACATAAGAGGGTGGGGGCCCCCGTGGAGAGAAGCCGCCGTTTCCACCCAGTTAAGTACAAACACTGCTTTCTGCACCGCTACCCTCGCAAACTACTGGTTCACATTCATTCTGTTTCACACAAGTAACAGATTTCTTCTCTCATCACCGGAGAACACAACCAGCATTTCACATGTTCCTTTAGTGCTACGCTTCTAAACGCGTACATCACTTACTTCAAACCGACTGAGGAAGCCTTGGAGCCGTTGGCAGGGATGACTTCTCGCAGAATATCGCAGCAGAAGATCTGGACTTCCCACAGCTCTGGATGTGAAAGGCTCCTGACCCAGATTCATAAAAGCACCGGCATGCCGCTCACTTACCGCTGACACCTGTGCTGACGCTGCACCCGTGCGCCCGACTGCAGCGCAGCCATCTGATTACAGCCGAGACTTGTGAATAAAAACACAACCCCAAAATGACCTTTCCACATCCTGTTTGTGTGAATCGAATGGCTGATCCCATCAAAAGGCCCCTTCCCCCCGCACGACATCGAGCCGGCCAACCCGCCACCTCGGCTCTTCGGGCACCAGAGGCAAAGCCGGGCTGCGTCCAGCTCGGCTGCCATGGCGACAAGAACCGAGACCCAAAATAGCCAGAGATCGGATACTGGACGGGTTGAGCGGGACTAGAAAAGGCCGCGCGGCGAGGGACACGCGGGGGGGCCTCAAAGTGCTCTCGTGTCACAAGTGCCGACAAACGCAGCAGACGGCTGAATCAGACATTAGAACAGAGAGCAGTATTCTACCAGGAGTTAAGACCAGTGGGAGAGAATAGACGGAGCAACTGTGTGTCCGGAAACCAAAAGCCTTCCAATGAAGATGAGTGAACACCTGAGTAGTTCCTCTGAGCTCTATTGAGGTTTTAATTTTATATATTTACGCCGTTCACTATTTCGGTTAATTCTCGCAACACTCATTTTTTCTAGCTGCTGTTTTCAGCAAAATAAAAGCGTGAGATAAAACCACTGTACATTGTCTTAAAGCGTACACATATCCCCGAGGCAAAGCCAGGATCTAAATAAATGATAATGTTGGCCCATAGGTGGCGTAAATGAGCAACCATTTGCACGTTAACAAAATTGACAGCGACGTGGTTACAGCTGGTTGTGCTGCTCGAAAGTGACTAAAAACGGTGGAGTTGCATAAACGATTCATCTTGAGTTGGTTAATACTGATTAGTTTACTCTTTAAGGAATA